AACAGGTTAATTTATTGGTAACAGAGTTTGAAAACAGTGACTTACACATTTTGCAGCTTTATATATTTGCTTGAATCTGCGATCATATCAGGAATTGTGCCTCGAACAGGTAAATTTCCCTGACCCTCTTTGGCCACAAATTCCTTTAAGGCACGAGCTAAAATCCAAAATGATGGAGTCTAAAAGAGTAAGAAAAAAATTAGTATTAAATGGCATCTGAATTTGACCCAAAGGTTAAGATGGCACTATTTACTTTTGGTTGTTACCTGTTTGGTGATATTTATGCAGTGATCATCATTAAATATATCTTCAATACTGCTTGGGATCTAACAAAGCAACACAAAACATTTACTTATACTAAGAATGTGCCCATCTGTATTTCCACTCTTTCCCCAAACAAATTCTTTTAATTCCTACATTGTAATCAAATACAAACTTCTGATGTGCTTAGACTTTTTTTGTAAAGATTTTATTTATTTGAGAGAAAGAGAGAGAGAGAGTGGGAGCACATGTGCACACAAGTGATGAGGGGGAAAGAGGGAGAGGGAGAAGCAGACTCCCTGTTGAGCAGGGAGCCCCACTCAGGGCTCAATCCCAGGACTCTGGGGTCATGACCTGAGCCGAAGGTGAATGCTTAATTGACTGACCCACCCGGCCGCCACCATGCTTATTAGACTTTCATTGAGAATCAGTACCAGACAGAGATTTGATGAGGAAAGAGAGAATGGAAGGAAGTCCCCTCCTGCCCACTGGTGTCAGCATTAAAGACTGACCAGTTCTCTTCCATCATACATGGATTAAAAAGGGAGCCAAAGTAAATCTTTTGATATAGTTACATCTGAAGATATAACAAAGATTTCAGACGTTACTAGCAAGCTAGATTTGTAGTCCATGTGTTTCCAGCTTGTCAAAAATGTGAAACCCTTACACCCTAAATCAGGAACTACTGGAAGAGACAACAACTCTGGCAAAAACTAGATAGTTAAATTAAGTACTTTTAATGCTGGCAAAAATCATCATACATTAATAACAACTATTGAAATTATAGGCTTTGATTCTACAGCTGTGTGGAAAGAAGAAATTTCTTATTGGTACTTCCTAACTGGTCTCTCTGTTTCTGCTCCCAGTCCCCTAAGTCTATTCTTCTCACAAGAACCAGAATGATTTTTTAGATATATAAGTAACGTCACTCCACACCCTGCTCAAAATGCTTGAATGGAAAAAAAAAAAAAATGCTTGAATGGCCCCCTCATCCTCATCATGTTCTACCCTCTGTTCTGTGCAAATTTTGTTCATAGCACCTAGTGCATGTATCTGTCTGCTTGGTTCACCATACAGAACCTCACTATGAGAACCTTGGGTTTTTTTTAATTGGGGTAAATTTTACATTCAGTGAAATGAATCTTAAACGTACAGTTTGATGCATTTTGATTACTCTGCATGTCCTTTTAACCATCACCTCAATTAAGACAAAGAAAATTATCATCACCCCAGAAAACTGATTGATAAAGCACACACTTTAATTACTCAGCAATATTACCTCATTGTCTCCAAAAAGTTTGTAATGACAGCTTAAGTGCTTTCCTAATGTGAAAGACAGCATTTTTTGCCATTTTAAATTATAAGAAAATTCTTAACTTAAAATACCAGTTGTGTTATTCCAAATTTCCCAAAAACCTCACTGGCAAGACCTTAACAACAAAACAAAGGGCATCTAAACAGAGTTATCCTCCAAATAATGTTTTACAATGTCATTAAGAACGTCTTCCATTATATCCAAACAACTACTGTCAAAAGCAGACGCAGGGTAAGATTTAACTTTCAGGCAACACTATTTTGGGCCAGCAAAATATCACCTTCATTATATATTTCCTACACCCAAACTGTTACTATTCACAAATCATGTACTTCAAATAATGTATATAAATCACTGTATCACTAGTATACGCTGAAGCACCGATAACCATTTTAACAAGGACAATACAGTCTTATTAAAACAAGATTCAATCCATATTATAGATATTAATTTCTAACAACTTTACAATTTAGGAAATATTAACTTAAATCTAAAATAAGGGCACCTGGTGGCTCAGTCAATTAAGCCCCTGACTTGTGATTTCAGCTTAGGTCATGATCTCAGGGTGGTGGGATGGAGCCCAGCATCTGGCTCTGCACTCAGCTGGGAGTCTGCTTGGGATTCTCTCCCTCTCCCTCTGCCCCCACCAAATCATGCACACATGCACACATGTTCTCTCGCTTACTCTTTCTCTAAAATAAATAAATGTTTTTTTTAAAAAAAAGAAAAATATAAAATCAACTATTTCACATGAGGACTTCAGAAAACACCTTTCTTGTATGAATTCCTCAGCAACACTTTTAATACCTGAGTTGTATTTAGTGCTGTGTTCACATTTTTAATAGCTTCTTCAAAATTCTCTTCATCTTCCGGAGCCCCGTTTTCATTCTTTAGAATTCCTAGTAAAATAGAAATTGGTTAGCAAAAAATAGCCCTTTTCTTCTCACCCCTTTGCTCTCCCTAACATTATGGAAATAATCTCATCAGTTTTTTTTTTTTATTTAAAGATTTTTTTTTATTTATTTATTCATTAGAGACAGAGAGAGAGAGGCAGAGGGAGAAGCAGGCTCCCC